GACAAATTTGAGGGTTTATTTTGTATCAACTGACATTTCAAGTTACTGCTTGTTAATATACCAACTTTAATCTCATCTAAAGTTGTTATTATGATATCGATGTTATACGCAGAGAAGGCAGCCATATGGTCGTGATACCGTGTATATGCGATTAGTAACGGGTCATGATTTATGATAATACGCTACAACAAAATCTGCGAAAAAAAACACACATCTGTGGTTGCCATGGAAACTATAACTTTAACTATCAAACGCAATTATCGCATATTCGCCAAACAAGTGACAAAAATGCTGCATGAACATGTAGTCATCAATATTTTACCCCTTCCCAGCGAAACGACTACTACGCCATTTTAGATATCACATTGGTCGCCGAACTAAATACATGCAGCACGGTGGAGTATACTACTTTAATTTCATCAACTTTTCAGGTATTGTCTTCAGCCGGGAGAAATTATGATATTGACTTTATTTTAAAAGCACCCAATGGTGCGATTTTGAAGGAGATACCAGACGAGGAGGACGGGTCATACAAAACCATGATAATGAGGAAAGGTATGCAAACTACTATGTCTTAAAAAACAACAACTAGAAAACAACCTGAGTAAAACTTCGTTTAATGGCATTTAAGGCCGTGATTGTAATTCGCGGGCATGTGAATCCATATACTTTTTCTAAACAAATCTGAAATAATTTCATAACATAAGATGGTAACAAAAATTGTTTTTCTTTTTTGGATGGACACTTTCAAAGTCTAATCATCTTATGAATCTAACTAGTTACCCAAAACAATAAGCTGTATATCACCGTACATATTATCGTATCTCCAGTATTTTCACTCGTCAGACAAGTACTTTAAGATAGAAGCCTACTCATAAATTAAAAACCCAGAATTTATTCATTTTGCAATAAATTGCATTCCAAGGCAATATACGGACATGTACACGGGGCCTCTGAAACAACGTATTTTAGTGGAAAGTCGCCATTTTGACACTATTACATGTATAACACTTTTACCATAGGTTCCTATGGCAGAGATATTATGCAATATCTCAAAATCTAGCCTGGTGACATAGGCTGAAAAAAATCATATATTGTTAATGATGAAGTACTTTTTGTTGTTCTGAATTATTTAAAAAATCTAGGTTTTAAAAAGTATCAAAAAATGCAATTTTCTTTAACATTGTGTTCTATGAGACATTAGCTTCATGATTGTTCATAAATAAACTAATGAACACTATCTTGCGATTTATGACCAATTTTGTCAATAATTATGGCTAGGCTTCTACCTTGGCTGGTTCCCGCCTCAAGTGTCATGGCGTACCAAACCACAAGAGGCCGGTAACTAGTAACGAATCCGGCATTCCGATTGGTCCATCACTTTCTCATTGCTTGTTCTATTTCCCTTGGTTACCTGACGTCAGCGCTTACGCTCGTGGCTCTAAGGCAGGGGGTTTCCTTTTACTTTCGAAAGTTGGGCGAATAAAAAACTGTTTCTTTTGTTATAAATTTTCACAGAAACAGCGAGGAATGTCAGAAACATCTCAAATATATGAATCTAAGCAGGCAGTATGTATGAGCATGGCTTTATTGTAGTATTACAGACACGTTTACGCAGAACGGAACTTGGAATGTTTTCAAATTACGTCACTCAGTCGCGTTCCTTCCGGCCGTGAAACAGGCCCAAATGGAACAATATGGCGATTACTAGTTACCTGCGTCCTACTGGCCACTCACAAAGGACGCCGGGAACCAGCGAAGGCTTCTACCTTAAGTCCAATAAGTCGCGCTCCCAGCGACGAAAACGACTTTGTGATACGACGGATATTCGAACATTTTCGTTCACACTAGAGAACTCTTGTTGGTTGCTTAGTCGTTTGTAATTTAGAATATAGCATATTTAAAGAAAGCAGTATTTTTTATTAACGCAAGACGACCGATCAGAACAATGTCGGACGATGTTCCTACGTCATGTATATGTTTCGTCGCTAGCGCCGCGCGGGGGGGGGGGTGATTCCTAGAAACGGTGTGTTTAATAGTATTTTGAATGTTTAGGATCGTTTTAAACTGTATCGCCATTGTTGAGACCGAATACATTGTACCAATGTCACACACACTAACGCCATTTTTATGTGGTTATAGGTGTATATACTTTGTGTTTTGACAATGGATTCAGCAAGTTTACATCTAAACAACTGTACTTGGAACTCACAATAGTCCAACGCGGGGAGTGGAAGAAATACATGGAAATGCAGCGTGAACAGATCATCGCGGAAGTTAACGCAATTGAAGGTGAAGTTGTGGCCTCGGCTATGGAAAATGTAACGGTATGTACTAAAGGAGTTGCACTGCAAATTATGACGTCATATCGTATGACGACAATGCATATAACAATACAACATATTGTACGTAACGAAACGTGGGCAACCGTAACTTGGGGTACATTTACTATAATTCAAGGGCCATCTACGACGAGATCACATTTTGTTCCACAAACGTGATAATCTAAAATAAATGTCGTTTTTTTTTTATAATCACTCACGGTAACAACGGGGGTAAAACATGTTAAAAATTAATTTGTGATTATAAAAGTTACTAATCATGATACTAGTACTATAACAACTTATACATTGTCTGAAAGTAGTGCATACAGTGTATCATTGTTTGTCTAAGGGATTACTCGATAGCCAATTTCCGTTGTCGGTATCATGTCTGTAGTTAATTTTTTGTAGGTAAAAACACAGTTCCTCTGTGGTAAAATACAAAAGCAATTAAAGAAAAAAAACGATACACAATATTCCAGCCGACTGTGTTAATAACGTCCAGTGCAGTTCACATGTCTCTTTTTGAGTGAATGGAAATGTTAAAATGGTGTGATAGTCAAAAAAGCAAAACACCGAAAATGGCCTCCATGTGCAGCCACTTAGATAACATTGATATAGCTTATGCACTAACGTATTCCTCTATATCTATGCTTTCAAATGTGGTAAAGTAACTTGTGTAGTAGTCTTTAGAGAATTGTTAACTCGTGTTACTCTTGTTGCTGTCTGCTTCCATTTTTGTTATACCACTTTCCTATCCACAGGAGGCGATGATTGATAAACTTGACTATATTGCCGACCATATGGATTCCATTTCTTTCCTACAAGGAACGGGAAGGAGAAGAGCAATAAGAGATTGGCATCTTGCCAACAGTAATCATTCGTACATACAGAAGTGGTCGATAGCCCAATGCATCGTAATCGTCTCCGCCTCGGTCTTCCAAGTGTTTCTCTTACGAAGAATGTTCAATATAAAGGCAGTGACACCAACACAGAAGCCCCGTGCATAGGATAGGTATATTAGGTTGAATTAAACAAAGACACAACGTATGCAAGCACTTACAATTTTTATGCGAAATTACCTCCGTGGTAGAATTATTGTAGGGTGTAGAGTTCGAGTTAGGACAATTTTATTAGTGCCATAATTTAGACCCAGACTACCCCTTATATATGATCGGAACTACTTATCTATGACATTTAATGAGTCACCAAATGGAGCTAATTGATGATTTTACTATGTAGAACACCCTAGCTACGTAAAAAGAGCAAATAAATATGTCCATTCAAAAGCGGTCCTTCTTTTGCTTGGACGTATCCACAGCCGAGATGATTGGCCTGATTCCGACGACAGTTTGCATGATGACAATGCATTTCATGTGGCAGAGGCGCGTTATTTGTTCCATGATTCGATCCGCTATCGCTGATTGGCGGCCATTCTGTCCCTTCCCGTATGCAACGACTTATCTTTCAAAACCATCAAACATCGTGAGATACTCGCAATAAGTTTTGTGACTCGAGCCATTATAGCCGATTGGCGGCCATTTTGGAAATGGCGAGTAGGCTTACAGAGCATAGTTGGTAAAAAACTGTTTGCAAAACTGTTTAAAACGTTATTTGATAGTATACAATTCACCAATAAGTTCCTGAACGGATGCCCTAAAGCTATAAGCTACATCAGCCTATTATCTACTACCATTTCAAATATATTACAGTAGCTTTTGTTTCCCAGCCCAATGCGAAACATATACAAATTCATATACGTTCTACGAATTCACGATTTTAATACGGGCCAGAATTGTCATGTGCTATGTTGCACATGAAATACTAGTGTTGAATAAAAATTTGATAAAAATAACGTTAACTTTCGTAAATTTTCGCTGTGTGTTGTGTCGGTTAGCGTGCTGTAATTTCTTGTATAGTAAATTAAAAACAAAGTTAAAAATCTGAAATAAACATCACGAGTACATGTTACTTGTGAATTGTATATAAACTAAACTATATATTCCTGTTTTTTTTTAGAAGAATTTAATTATTTAGAATATTGAGCCACGTTTACTTTGAAAATTGAGAAATTATTTTTGTAACTAAACATTTGCATATTCATTAATGTCCGAGGCCGATCATGCAAAACGAACGAATTTATTATGATTTAACACTAAAAATTAAAGAGGGAGGGTCGCCACCTGGGCACGCGCGGGAATTGAGTCCCAAGCGACGATAACAACACACGCTAAAACGCAAAGGCTCATGGGTAGATGCTTGTTTGTAAACAATGACACGCTATGGCCATCTGACGCATGCGCAGGTGACTACAAAGTGGGGGTACTAAATAAAACAACAATCAGAAATAGTGAAGATATGAAAAAGAGTTTGTTGAGTAAGTATATCCCCAGACGATTACAGAAAAAACCCCCACAAAACCATATAATTTTTCCTGTTACATGGCGGTGGAAGGGGATAATTGTCAAAAAATCAAATAATTTGATTTTGAACCTTTTTTTTAATGCTGGGATACTCTTACTTCAACAAAAGTGACCACCATCAAATGTGTATAGCACATTATTAAGAGAGAAGGTACGCCAAAAATGTTATGTTTGTCTTGTTTTCACGCTCGATTCTACGCATGACGCGAGATCTCACAGTGAACGGAAAAAGAGTCTATTCTTGGGAGATAACATCGGGGAATTTTCACCACCTGACAATCATCACCGCTGAACACAAAAGCCGGAAGCTCCCATGATACTGTACTTAAACTAATTGTTTAGACTATCCTTAATAGCGTAAGATATGTGTAACATATGTAAATTTGGTTGTTCGGGATTGTCTCAAAGTTTAGCTTATGTTATTTTCACGTGTCGTCATTTAGTTAGCTAGTGTAACGAGGTTATGCTATTTATGAAATCGTCATATGGTTACACATGAATAGAATGAATATTGATCTGAATGCATGCATTGATTGAAATGTCAGAACTCGTGTATCTTTACAAAAGATGAATACAAACACTGTTATTGTTGCGCATTGACGTGTGTAAGACTCTAAACATTAGGTTTACTGTACAGGAATCGTTTTTTTCACCAATGAAATTGGACATTCCCAAATTTAGGTCAATTCGATTAACGTTGCCCAGGGTTACTTCATGGTGACCAATGATTGGCAGCAGAAAACACCTTTAAGTTCATGAGACCATATACTTTCGGGAAACATGGTCAAGTATTCAAACTTGTTCATGAATGTTTAACTTAATTCCTTGCATCAATTACGGGAAAAGTTCTACTAAAACGGGTATTGCGAATTAAAGTGAAATCATTTTTTTCATACTATATTATCTGAAGCAGTATTAAAGTATCAGTTATATACGTACTAGTGACAATATCACAATTTTGATCTGTTCAAGTCTTCGACCAAAACACGTTTTGGAAAGTCGTGACGTGGAAAATTCATAATCCAATCAATCTTTTACGCGAACTACGTAGTTTGGTACATAAACACACGAAGAATATATGGTAATATTACAAAGCTATTATGCTATACAAATTATGTATTGATTACATCATGACCGTACATCTTGTTCGGACACGTTTAAACTTCATTGACAAAAATGTAAGACTCCTGTGCAAAAACGTCAGGCTACATCAATACACGGTGTCAACAACAATAGATGCCGATTTTGCCAAGTGATACCATAAAGTTTAAAAAATCCTTCGCATCGGGTTGTATGTCTCTGTACAACGTTGCTTCATCTACTCTTATTACATTATTATACACAATTCTGTAAAAAAGTAATTTTTCAATCATATATTTAATTAAAGTTATATTTTTACAGAACACACAACTACAGTCAGCTGATAAAACCACGCGTGCTATTAACTCACAAGTCGTAACTTTCAAATCTGCTCTAGATTCATAACATTTGTATCAAGACTGACATAGGTGGGGATGCCGAGATTGACATCCGTAACAGGAGAATAAATAATTAGAATGAGAAATATGAACTCGTTAAACCGGAACAAAATGTTATAAACAAGATTTTAATTAATTGTTACTCCACAAAAACGCCCCAGTAAAGTAGGGATATTCTAGAGGGCCCATTCTACAATTTTGTTAGCACAAAAATCGTTACTATTATGAATCAGCACCGACCAAAGATTTTTCAGACGGATCTATATCTCAATTATATATTGAATAAAACGTTCTTTTAAAATAATAAAAATAAATATAGGAATGGTTTTTATATGACCACTCACACGAATCTGAGGTGTACAGTATGTGATTACAATCCACATTACAAGTGACGAACATTTGATACAACAACATTAAGTTGTATTCTCAGTAAAAAAGCTTATTCAACTAATTGTTTCTGCACTCCTAATATTCACCCCCTATTTTGTTGTGATGGCAAGGAAGAACTTTTGGTACAGGTTCTTTCATATTGACCTCATCTGCATTCCAGTTTCAAATCTTATTAAATACATATTTATCAGATTGACATAAGCTGTATTGTTTGGAAAAAGGTTATTCACAGAATCTGTCACAGTGTCACTGTGTAAGGCCGCTTATCGCTAATGAGAGGGCGTCCATAAAACTCACACTGGACAGGGGGTTGATTCACTGCTACTATGGGGTATACAAGACAATAGTATTGGAAATGAAATTACACATACACCAAAATATCGATTTAAAACTCCTTGCTTTAATACCTCTCAAAATAATAACAAGAAATAAAACACAGAAAAAAACAATATCGCAGTAGTTACACACAGGATACACAGTAGAAAAGATGGACCCCCAACTGTCCTCAGTTTGTCCAATTTTAGGAATAAATGGCCCAGATTGACACCACCTGGGTTTCCACATGAACCAATCAGAATGTAATCTTGCTAGCAGCTGTGTCACGTAGGCAACTCAGTAGATCATAAACATCTTTTGTTTTTCAAATAACAGCACACATGGTAGATTCCAATTGTCCTTTCAAAGTTGTAAACACCCTTTGTTGTGTAAATCATAAGCACACCTGGTAGATTCCAACTGTCCTTCCAGAGTTGAAAGCAAGTATGACCTGTCAATCACTTTTATGACAGTTATCACACGGCAATGCACCCCGTTTCTTCCCATGATTCCATGCACACTATTTGAGGTAATATGACAAAACATAAAATAAAGAATGCTGACACAGACAATGATCTCACAATATTTGCTAATGGATGAACCGTTTGTTGGGAAAGTTGCCTATGCAAGGCAACAGCATGGCCTTATTCTCCGCCAAACACAATTGTTAAAGTTGTGATATTGAAACTAAAGATTATGATTATTAGGATTTTTGTTTGGATTACGGTAAGAGGGAGCCCAGACGATGACAAAAATGGCATTGCACATGTGGTTTATGCCAGGTTTGGTTGCAAGAGGTATCTCAATCCTTAAACACATGACAAAATGCTTCAATTCGTCTTCAGTAGTCTGATTCAAACAGTGAGTTCACCACTAATTGTCAATGCCTGGATGATTCCATGGCACCTAACAGTGAGTCAATGCATTACTTGAGTTTCCACTACATCTCATCTGTAACTCATAAAATTATCTTCACAAACTATGATTTCAAGTAACTGGTGGGTAGAGTGCCCATTGCAATTGCCATCAAGCTGTTACTACCTATTTTTTCCTTCGTCGGCAATGTCTGCATACTACTCCGCTACATATACCCACCACATGTTTATGTCCTACGACAAACTGATGATTTCTGCCTAACCCAGATTTTAGTGATTGCGTTTTTCTTACATTCTGTTACAAAAGATTTCAAAGGAGTCAAGGATAATTCATCAATGCTCTCACCACCAATGTCGACAATTACATATTCATACAGGGACACAATATGTAATAAACTGTCACTGGGAAGTTGTGTGGCCATGTTATTGTAGTAATGCGATTGAATGGACCCAGAGTGTAGTCACACCCACCTTGTATCACTGCTTTTATGGTGTCAAAAATGTGTTATGGGTAGTAGTGGCTATATTG